GAATTCATCATGGCAATCAGAGTTCTGCATTCACTATCTCCCTCACCCCACAACATGGAACTTGTGGTTCGTTTTAACATTTCATTCAGTGATGTACTTCCATGTGATGACATAAATTTATGCATCTTCTTTCAGGTTGAGAGATCATTTGACTTATCCAGGGTTTGTAAATGTATTTTTTTCTCGACTTGATTGAAAACATGTATGTTTATTCTGTGGGTTTTGGATGTATTTAGCATGAAACTAATCTCTCAAATCTCATACAAAGAACTCGTAAGAGGAATTCGTAATATTAAGTTTGTTAAAGATAATGTGTGTGATGCGTGTGAACTAGGAAAATAAATAAAAGACAGTTTCAAAAATCAAATAAGCACATTTAGATCATTGCAATTGATTCATATGGATTGTTTGGACAAATTGATATATTAAGCTTAGGAGATAGCAAATACGTTTTTGTCATTGTAAACGATTATAGTAGATATATTTGGACATACTTCTTGACACATAAAAGTAGTAATTGTTTTAGGTATTTTTTAAATCAAAAATCATAATTAAATTATTCTAAGTTCAATTCTAATTTAATTTAGACCGAATAGATTATCGGGCTGGTTGCATTTTGATTTGATTTGGATTGAAATAAAGATGTGATCTTCTCATGGACGTACGTACAGTATCAATTAGATACATGCACTATGCTTCGGTATTTTGTACTCCATGTCCCCCACAACCTAACCCATAAACTAATGGCAATTGAAAAGGATTTGAGGTGTACTCATCAATTTGTGTTTATATGCTCATCCATCACTATGTTCCATCAATACAAGTTTGGGCAGACTCAATAAAATCTAACCTCCATTATTATTATTATTATTATTATTATTATAAGTGCCTGTATTCGGCAACTTTAAGAATCGCCCTCTATCTTTGTGTCTTTGGTTTGCGGACCGCTGAGATATGTATCCTCGCATAAATGTAGATTCTTCTGCACCGAATCCTCAACACACACACCCTCTTTCCGGATTTCTTTCCCCTTCTCCGTAAGCTCGAATTGGAGTTTCCAACTTCTGCAAGGTATGCAAATCCTTCCCGTATTTGTTGTCACTGTTGTTTGCTCGCATCAAAATTGTATCTTTCTTGCTGGAAGTCTTGATGATGTTCGAGACTATTTTTCTCGATCTTCCCTCGTTTTCGAGGAGGATCGATTAGAATTTCTGATCAAAATATGATCCTTGGATGCCATTCAATATCAGTTCTTTACCCTCCAGTTTAAGTTTCATCTTAGCTGCCGATTCGTCTTCTCTTGGCATAAAATGATTCGGCTTTGAGCTAAAACTTGTATCCATCTGTCCTCCCTTTTGTAGTAATTGGCCGTTGTGCCAAGTGGTTGTCTCCGTCCAGGATTTCTCCTGTTCTTTGCACTGCTTGGTGGGCGAGAAGGGAGCAATGGAAGGAGGAGAGACGTTCCCAGTCTTGGGAAATGGCAGCCAAGGGGACTACAAGGTGATGCAGACCTTCCACAAGAGCTTTGGGCAAGTGCAGAGCCGGTTGGACCAGAACAGGAAACTGATCAACGAGATCAACCAGAACCAGGCGTCGAGGATCCCCGGACGCCTCAACCGCAACGTCCGCCTCATCGGGGAGCTCAACAGCAATATCCGCCGAGTCGTCGACGTGGACGTCGAGCTCCCCCTCTCCTTCACCGGGTCTATGGAGGCATCACCTGAAGCTGAAGCTGCTTCCCAAGGGAAGCCTGGTTACGAGAGAGTCATAATATATCGAACACAATTTCTACGTCGGTTGATATATCTGCTAAGATCGACAGACCAAATCTCTTATTGCATTCCTAGATTAGGACAGAAATTTACAACACGATGTGTAAGGCAATAATTAACAGAAATTTAAATTCAGAACTCGATCAGACCATTAATGTAATTTAGCCGACAAAATATATCATTAAACTAATACTTGACTCTGCCTCTTGGCCAAGTGCGACATAACTCTAGCGGAGGCCACCTTCTTCACCAGTAGCCTCCATCTCTCGTCCTCGTCCTCCTCCAATTCCCCTTCCTTCTCCTGCATCCTCTGCTTGAATTGTCTATGGATTCGCAATGATACGAAGGCAAGTGAGTTAGTTTCTCTGCTATTTAACTCACAGCAAGACCAAAAACGAGAGAATGCAGCAAGAATAGATAACTTACATGCAGAGGGGAACCTTGCAGGAGGCGTCGTCGACCTCGTCGCAGATGGAGGCGTGGAGGCGGAGCAGCTGCCACAGGCGCTTGCAGCGTCGGCACCCGTGCTGCTGCCGCTTCTGCCGGTCGCACGCCGCGAAGTGGCGGATGAGCTGCCGGAGGCCGCGGCAACTGACGGCGTTGGGGCAGGGGGGGCGGGCGTCGGCTGGAAGGAGCCGGCCTGAGGGCCCCACCTCCCCGCACCCGTCGGCGCAGATGTGGCGCAAGCAGTCCATGGCCTCGTGCAGCTCCGCGTACAGCCTCTGCTCCGCCTTCCTCCTCGCCTGCCGCCGCCGCCGCTGTTCGCACCACAAGCAAAGCCACGACCCGATCAATCTATCTGTCTCTCTCGGCCGCCATGGCGAAGTTGGGTGCGTCGAGGGAGTCGATGCGTACGTACCAGGTGGGCGTGGTGGAGGAACTGGAGGATGTGGAGCTCGAGCCAGGGGTCGTGGTCCTGGAGGAACCGCCAGGCCTCGGTCTGCTCCACCGCGGCGAAGTCCTTCGACAGCAGCTGCATGCACCGCAGGTGGAGGCGCGGCGCGTCGCACCGCTGCGACAGCACCAGCACGTCCACCACGCCCTCGGCGGTCAGCCGCAACGAGAGCGCCCGCTCGGCAGCGCGCTTCAACCACCCGACGCGGTACGCGTGCGACAGCGCCAACAGGTGCATTCCGTGCTCCCCGATCATCTCCTCCTCTGTGGCCGACACGCACCTGTCGTACGCCCGCCTATAAAACTCGTCATGGATGACTACAGGGAAGAAGAAGAGGAGGAGCATGACAGAGAACTAACAGAACGGAAGGAAGAAGAGATACAAGACCTGGCAAAGTAGAGTGAGTGAACGAAGGCATGGACAGCGTCGCATGGGACGCCAAGAATGGGGATCTCCCTTCCTCGACTCCTGCCCTTATGCGGTCCACCCAGTATGCTCTCCAGCACAGGCGACGCAGAAGCCTTAGATTCAAGACGAAACAAAAGAAGAATAAGCGAAACGAGAAAGTCGCAAGCGAGACATTATGTCAGGCAGGTGAGCGACGCGGAAGGCCGCGGTCGGTTACCAGAACGGTGGAGTGAACAGGTATTCGCCGCCCGCCGGACGTCACGATCCGGACATCGGCCGGCGGGATCTCGACACTCCCGACCTCAAGCCACCGCTGGATCTCCGCCTCGCCGCGTTTCTTCTCTTCTTCGGTCATGTTTCCGAGCCAACGACGGATGTTTTGTGCTTCAACAACCCACCGATCCCTCGATATATATAGTGTGGGGAAGAGGACACGAAATGGATCGGAAGAAAAAGCCAAATGACAAATATGCCCCTACAGCACCTTACGATTCATCCCCATCAGAGCCATTAAAAACATCTTCCGGATGTCAATTATATCAAGCAAGTATGGAAAAGAAATAAGCCATTGTTGGATAATGAAGAATCATATGACTTTATTTTTCGGGACTTACTCCATCAAACCATGATGGAAGAGGCGGGGAATGAAGACGGGTCCCAAGTCAAAGGACATGATAGAAGGGGTCACGGCTGTTACTTACACGTCCCTTGGAGACCAGAAGAGGCGCCCTTCCCGTCTCCAAGGCTCGAGGATTGGTAACGATGACTTGCAAGGATCCGACTCATCCTCATCCTTAACAGCTCAGTTCCAACTTCTTCTGTGTAGTCGACTTGGCACTTCCCTTTTTGCCTATTCTTGAGGATAATTGACACTTTCGTTAGTTCTTTTGGGTCAACAGTTCTTTTCGAGGACCACAAGAAAATATTTGGACAATGGTTCCTCTCTGAGTACATAGCAACTTCAGATTTATAAACGTGTCAGAAGCAAATTAAGTTTCCTTCTTCATCTTCATTTTGTTCCTCATTTATGACAATGTCCTGATTCTTTTTTTCTCCTTTTTTTTATTTTTATTTGTATAAAACTCTTCACTGTAGCTGCATGAAAGATAAAAAAAATAATTTAAACCTCTACTAATAGTTTTCTAGCAATTCTTTTCCTTAATCTGCAAGAATCTCTTCTTTCACCACTGCATACTATCTTAAATTATTCTTATTTAATCCTCCAACAATCTAATTATTCATGCATAAATATTTTTTTATTGTTTAATAACTTAACGTATCCAACACATCAAATCTCCTTGCAACAATACAAAAATAGAGTTTCCGAACTCATCTAATAGCCTACAAACATCTTCTAATTATCCCATCCAACTCATCAAATATAAACGTCCAAATCATCAGAACTCAACTCTCAAGCTGAATACAATTTGTGTCTACTCCGAGGAACAACTTTTGAGTCATCTACATGCATAACCATATGTTACCTGAACAATTAGCTAAAGAGAAGGTAATAGAAAGCGCAGACATATTGGGAAAACATATTCATAGACTCAACTATATTTAAAAGATGTATTCAAAGCAGCAGTATACTAAGCAATGAGTCAGCAATACGCTCACCTTCCAGTTGACATGTTGTGGGTCACCTATCTGTTTGCGCCAGCTGTGATAAAGATGTGCTCTCCTGCTGTCATTAAATGCTTTTGCAGGCCTTTAATTGAAACCTGAATGAAATAGAACTGGAGGAAATACCATTTAGCATATCAGTGAAAAACCAGAAAAGTAGATATGTGCCTATCCTATAAAAACAATTAATGCAACCCAATATAAGAGTGTGATTGCATAGGGACAAATATCACAATCAAATATATTAGGCCTGTTTTTTTACGTCTGCTAATGGTAAAAGCATCCACCTCTGTCTACATCTACACCAGTCCCCATCTGATTGAAATGTCAAGTTGATTGGACTAATGGTAGAAAGATTAGTCTTCCTAAAGAAGGAAAAAAGAATATATGCACTGAGGCTCCTACCTACCCTACCCTGATCAACTAGTGATGGCACTTTTAATCAAGAACATTAGTTTACAATCACCCAATTTTCCTACATCGAATGAAACTTCATCAAATTAGTTGTTACAAGCCTGATCGTCTACGGCCCTTTTTTGCCGAGTGGCCTGTTTTGCGCTTGTGACGGCTAAAATCTGATACAAACCGGAATGTCTGACCACACCCTGATTCCCAGCAGACGTATGGACGATCACCGGTATGCACCCTAATATGTTCGGTCCGTGCCCATGGCCACTTGAATGTCATCTTGCACCCCTTCCATGGACAAACCAATGGTCGGTCATCCATGTGTACCTTCCGATGCTGCACGAGGTACTTGTGTGAGAAGAACTTCTTCCCACACCCTTTGACAGGACAAATGTCACGCTTGTGTAGTGCCAAATCTTGCTTTGTGCTGAAGCTCATAGAGCACCCCTCAATATCACATGTATATTCTTCCTCCTTGCCCTTAACTGCAAGACTTGCAGTTTGAGTATTTTTAGCCTTTCTCTTTGTAGATTGCTTCTTGCTGGCCAACTTATTCTTTAGCTCTTCAGACTTGGATGATCGTTTCTTGAGATGTGTGCCAGGTCCTCCTGATTCATTTTTCAAACTCGATTTACCCTGGCTACTGCTGTCATTGTGCCTGAGATGACTGCTTCTTAAAGTCCTTCCAAGTGGAGATGCAGGAATTGCAGATACATAGTCAGTTTTTGAATTTCTGTCCGCCATGGTGCTGCTGTATAGGGGTTTCTTAGACTTTGCCATCTTCGAAGGCCTCTTCCTCTTCTTCCCAGAATTATTTGCTGCCAGATTGCTACCTGATGAGTTCCTTTTGGAAGACAATCCGCTGGAATGACCAATATCTATCTCAATCAAAGGATTTTGATCAGTATCAAATGAATAAAGCCCTTCTGTCTGTTCTTGCTCCTGTGTTTCCTTTTTATGGGCTAAATATGGGTGAACCTGGTTCGACATCCAAACCTTACCACACCACCTACCAGCGGCAACTATCTTCTTCTGCCTGCCTGGACACCTCCTAGTAGCCTTTGGCTTCATAGGGGAGTTGCCTGTGGAATCACGACCAAAAGCCTTGTATATAACTGGATTATATGGCATCTGCTTACTGTATAGGGGAGATTTGCTAAGGTTGGCAGTATAACACAGGTTGATTCCCAATTTCACTGTCCAATCACTATTCATAGGCATGACTTGTTCATCCTCTATGGCTGCTCTGATTCTTTCTTGGTCTTCTTCATTGGCCTCCCTGAATTTGACATTCTTCCAGATATAACCAATTCCCTGTTCTTTTGCCAACAACTTTGCTTCTGACTCTATTTTAGGATAGTCTGCATATGTCATTATGGGCAAGTCACATACAACATCCAGAAAGAAATCACAAACTTTACAGCAGAAAGAAATTAAAAACACACTGCCAATTGATTAAAAGAACCATCAGATAATTATGCAGCTCAAACAATTTTTCTTTACTTCATGGCAAACATATGTTTCAGGTGTACAATTTTAATTGCAATGCCACTTCCATTAATCTTTCAATGCTCTTGATACAAAAGTACACTCTTGTTCCACAAAATCAAAAGAAAATTCCATTTGGCATCAGTACTGGTTATCTCAATATACTTAGCAATGAACATTTTAGGATACATTGTATGCCTAAGTCAAAAGACGACTTCAACTTTAATTTTAGGATTTGACAGTGTATGTTTAATAGCACATTTCATATCATAGTCGTGTACGTTTTAGTGCAATAGAGATTCTAGGTACTGCAACTGCAACAAGCAATTGTTTCTACTTCTGCAAATTGGACTTGCATTTTGCAGATGATGCATGACTTCCACTGGAATGGAAAAATATAAATGGGCCAGCATGGTGCATGAGACTTCCACCGATACAGAATCTGGGAAAAACAAATTTACAAAGCTTTACCCCTGCAAGTAGAGACACTATTCCTGACCTAATACCTAGTCACCTAGACCATTAAGACGCAACTTTGCTGTGACACAAAATCATCCTCAAATGGTCAAATTAAAAATATATAAACTACATCCTAGCTGCAACCAGCCAAGCTGAATAAATGTCTCCAATATACAATTTTGCACAACCTAGATCCATTTTATTATTTTGGCAAGGCAATGAGAAATCAGGTACCAAACAACACGAGCTACTGATCAAAGCCTTTCTCAAATGACAACCTGATTAAGAATATCTTCTGAACATGAGCATCAATTAAAAATTGATCCGTCAGGAATTGCACAGATCATACAGTGCAAAACTAAAGCGCAGCAGCAAAAGGACACCCCAATATCCCACAGTGCAAACGTACAGATGTTTCTAGGACAAAAACAAACTTGATGGTGGAAAATAAACTTCACTACTAAATCATATTAGATTATTACAGAGGAAGATGGATGAAGCATGTCGCACAAGCCACTAAGAATAAAGTTTATCCACTTAATGCTGAAAACCATCAACCCAACAGCTTCACAAGTAAATAAACAAGAGAGCCAGATCCAAACTATGAGCAGTCTAGTTGATTTAGGGTTAATATCCTACTTTCACAAGATAACAATCTGGTTGATTCCTCTATGCTACCCGTCTAGTTACAGCAAATTATGAACAGTCACAGCAGTTAGTTATACCTAAAGATATTTGTTAAAGTGCTAAGAAAAGGAGGGAAGGCCTACTGCACCAAGCTCCTGCAATGCATTTTACAGAGAGTCAAGTTCACAACCTCATCCTTGTGGACAAAGAGGCTGGTCCCATAATTCAAACCTTCCTAACGTGGATTGCAAAGGAAAAACCTCGCGATGACACCTAGGGTAGCCTTGTTAGAGAGCTAAGAACTAAGTTTAATCAAAAAAATGTAGCAAACAGATTCCAGTCACCACAATTCCCTTGGATATAAAAATAATCCTTGGGATTAATTTGGCTCTGACACTTGACATTTTGATCGCAAGTTCAATACATGTTCCCCATATTCATGAGAGGCCTCTAGCCTCGATATTCCAAACTTTAACGATATTTTAGTGACTCCCTTCATCTCATACTTCTAGACTTCACCCTTACTAGAACAAGGGAAACAGGTTGTCTTTTTCAAAGGCCTCCTTATCCTGATGACAAAAGTGGACAAGGCTCCTCTCTCAGACCCTCTTTGTTATCCACCTGGATAAAAGGTACTTACCAATTTGTCATGAGTTAGATCGTCCATCATCTCAGACATGAATCTTCTTTGCAAAAGGATACATGTAATTATAAGGCCAACTCTAAAATCTTCTTTAAGTTTTTGCATTGATGTCGAATAATATGTCTTAAGTTAACCACATCATGCTCGAATCAGCACATGAAAGGCTAAAGCTTGGTCCTAGTTATAAGCAGCCTAA